GATTCTGAGTCACTGTCCTGTTTCTCCTCTTCATCTTTCCCGAGGAAGAATGTCAACGCAGCAACTAATATCTAAAAACCAATCAGAACAAAATCAGTTACTATTAAACCCAGTTTACAGTGGACAATAAAAACTTTTGTCTCTACATACAAACATTATCTGAAGAAAAAAATGAGAGGTGGGACTTGGGCTAATTTTTCTTAATTAGAGTATAATATTTTGTGTTATATATACATATATATCTTTAACTAGATAAAAGGAGCCAGGCTCTACATAGATGTTACCCTTAAGAAAATGATCACGAATTTCTATATGCTCACAAGAAAAGTGATATTACAACCTTCTTACAAGAAGTCAAACATAGTCCTTAAATTTCTTCTAGCTGTGCCAGAGTCCAACAAAAGAGTAACAATTTACAGTAAATAAATACAGTAAATACAGTACAATTACAGGGGAAAACATGATGTAAGGGTGAAAGTTACTGTTTAATGCTGAACATTTTAAAAAGTCAAGAGAAACTGTAAGAAAGGAAACTAGACTTCTGGTGTATAATGTAGGCTACACAGACAATGAACTCTAATGCTATAGCTGAAACCAGTATGCTGCTTTATAACAACGTTGTGTCAATAAGATATTAAAATCTGTCAGTCATAAACTTTCCTCCTTTTCATTTTTGAAAAAAGAAATTATGGTAATTTTGACTCTTCTAAAGCAGAAATGATCCAGGGAAAGTACCTAAGCACAAAGAAACCGTTACTAAACATGAATGCGTGTCCACACAGAACATCTTCACTTTCTATCCAGAGAATAAATAAAGTCTTCACATGACCTTACAGATACCTTGGTAATCTTCGAGAAACACGCAGTCGTGATCACATTGACAGTTTTGGCATCATTCCTGGGGAGAGACAGTGTGTAGTTTCAAGTAAATTTCTTTTCTAGTGTATTTCATAACATAGATAATGGCATAAACAGTATTTTGACAAGTGAGAGTTTACAGTTGTAGTATTTTTAAGTCATGGGTTCCTAAATAGTCAACCAGATTTAAACATTTAATGAAAATTTAGTCTAGTCTAATATTAGAAAATTGTAGTCATTAAGATGGACTTTTGGAAGAATTCTGCAATTACAGCATAAGAACAGACTTAAGACATTAAAAAAAAACCATAATGTAGTAAAACTGCCATCTTATTTAAAAATTTATGTTAAAGGCAAGAGGGAATATCATAAAATATTAATAGTGATCATCTCTAGGTATGGTATTATCAATAATTAAAAAGGAGACTCTTTTTCTAGCTTCTCCATGAACATTACTTCTATAGTTAAAAAAAAAAGTAGTAAGAAAAAAGATAGGAGACTAAAACAACAAATCAAAAATTTATGATTATGAGTCGGATTTGGGTTTCAATTTCTGCACTGTCCCTTGCTAGCTACAAAACTTTTAACTCTATGCACTTCAGTTTGATTCCCTATAAAATAGAAAAGCTACATCACGTGCTCTGAAGTTGAGCAGGGCATGTAAAGTGTAGGTGCTCAAGAATGGTAGCCAATATTACCATCAGCAATACTGGGTTGCCTCTGTACTTTTACTTCTAAGTTAATCTATGACAGAGGAATATTAAACAGTTGATGAAAAAAATATCTGTGGATATATGCTGTAGTAATTCCAGGTGAATAAAACATTTTTTCTCAAGTGAAACACATGTTATTACCAGATGTTTCTTCTGTAGAGTTCAATCATCACGTCCAAAGATATCTTGGCTGCAGTGGCATTGCTGTCTCTTAGCATGGTGTACATGAAATTCTGCAGTACCTGAAGAAAAGGAGAAAGAAAGCTCAATACACTGATAGTGCAAAGCTGCAAGCATGGAAACAAAAGGGTACTTACTATATTCACTTTATTGTTCTTGTGTTTTGCATTTATATTCTTGATATCGGTCACAATATGTGTGTATAAAGTCTGAGGAAAAGAAAAACATACATTTTAAACAACATTTCTAAATTTGCTTAAATTAGAAAAGGTACAGGAGGATTTAATTTCACCCCTTTTTCATTCAGTCACAAAAGAAACCCAAAACAAAAAAACAAAAAGCAACTACAGACAAAAGAGAAGTTGCGCTCAAAGAGTAATGGTTACCATAGAGCTAACAATTCTGTGACTCGTTATACACATGAAGAAATGAAAACATTTCCACACCAATGTTCATGCAAATATACAAAACATATTATACGTAATAGTCAAAAGGTGGAAACAATCAAGATGCCCATCAACTGACGAATGGAGAAAAATGTGATTCAACTGGGGTAATAAGCTTGGCAACAAAAATGTTTAAGTACTAACACATTCTGTAACATGGATGATAAGTCTTGAAAAGCTTATGCATAGTGAAATAAGTCACAAAAAAAAATCACATAATATATGACTCCATTTATATAAGTTGACTAGGGAAGATCAGAATCAGACTGGGCTGGTGATTCCCTGGGTTGGCATTGGGAATGGAGGTGAAATGGAATGACAGCTAATGGAAACGGGGTCTCTTGAGGATAAAAAA